AACGCCGTCAAGTTTACAGACAAGGGTTACATCCGCGTCAAAGTAGCGGTCATTCGCGAGGACGAAGCCACGTTCGAATTGAAGACAGAAGTCATCGACTCAGGCATCGGAGTGAGTCAGGAAGCTGAGAACGTCCTATTTACTCCATTCACTCAGTTGGACAACTCCTCGACGAAGAAATTCAAGGGCACGGGACTCGGACTGTCCATCTGCAAGAGTCTGGCTGAGTTGATGGGCGGTAATGTCGGCTACTTGAAGAACCCCTTGCACCAGGGCAGCGTGTTCTTTTTCACGACTAAAGTTAATAAACTTGAAGTGACGCCAGTAAAACCGCTTGCGAAGTCCGCGCCTGATGTTGAACTCAGGAAACTGGCTCATACGAAGCATCTGTTGCTGGTCGAAGACAATGCCATCAACCAGACCATCATGGTTCGCCTATTGCGAAGTTTTGGGTTCGAGAAGGTGGATATCGCCGCCGATGGCGCGGAGGGCTTGAAGATGGTCACACAGAAACCGCTGGCTTACAGTCTGATCCTGATGGACATCTCCATGCCTGTGATGGATGGCGTCACCGCGACTAGGAAGATCCGTGCCGCAGGACATTCCATGCCCATCGTTGCCATGACCGCCAATGCCCTGAAAGGAGACGAAGAAGCATATCTGGCCGAAGGCATGAATGACTACATTGCGAAGCCTGTGGATCGAAGGTTGCTGATGGAGTCATTACTCAGGCTGCTGGGCTGAAATGTTGCTAATGAAACACTGATCAATCCCGGTCCTGGACAAGCATACCCCCGCATCCACGAAAGAGGATGAAAATTCAGCACAATACTTGTCTCCCAGTCACCTACACGCACACCGAGAACGAACCTTGTTACAGTTCGAATCAAGCACCAGCGGAAGAAAGAGAACCGTGATCTTGAGCAAAAGGACGTCCGGAATTTGCGGCGTCGTGAGACAGCACTGGGCGGAGAATGTCTCTCGGGATTTCGACCGCCAGGGATGTTGGGAGAATCAGCGACAAGTCAGTAAAGCGAATCAGCAACTCTAACCCGAGATCGAAACGCTGTGGAGGTGACTCGCGCAGTGTTGCAACTTCAGGACAAGAGAACCTCCGACAATCATATGTGATACGGCATGCCCATCCAATGATCCGCCTGGTGCTAGTTCTCAACACCGAGAGCACGACTTGGGATTGATATGAAGAATTGCAGCGCGCAACCGACAGAACGCGATGCACTATATGCGGTGGTAGAGCCGCCTTTCTTATCGGGCTCAAGAAGGAGACATCTCATGCGAGCACCAGGGTCACTCAAACCGAATTTTGTCTGGCTTCGCACGAAAGGCTCAGAAGGTCAATCGGTCAATCTTTCCGAGGGCAGCCACCTCCGAAAGCCCGCAACCTCCAAGTCGAGGCTGTATGGGATTTGGCCCCTTTGACACATTATTCTGGTTGGTGAGCATCATCAACACCGGACGGCATCTTCCTTCGCCCAATTTAGCGTCTGCAACGAGAAGATGCCAAGGCACGAATCGTGCGATGCGAGCGGCCCTCTTACGTTTCATCTCTGCGACTGGTGGGTGACTAGGTTGTGTCGACTCCATACTCCGTACACGCTCCGGTAATACGGAGATGGCCTTCCTGGTCTATGCCGAAGCCGATGGGACCCGATCCACCGCGTTTGATGGGGGCCCTTATTGGCTGGCCCTTCAAAACGCAATGATTGATAAGAAAGCGGAGCAAACTCTCCACTTTGAAAGACGAATGTTCACGCACACGGTGACTACAGTACCGACAAGCATTTAGAAATGGATCAATAATGATATGGAATTACACAAGAGAATACAATTCAGTCGCAGCCCTGCGACAATACGGGCCGGTAACGCATCTCCCTTCATGACTACGTTTGTGAAGAACGCGCATGCTAGGCAGTCCAAGCCCTGCCGGACTGCTTATCCAAGCAAGCTCAAGCACCGGTGGCACTCTTGGGACGTTTCTAGCGTGTGAGGGCAGTTCTCTCAATGCTCAATCGGCCATTGTCACCCCTCGCGTACTCTCCTTTCTTATGGCACGACGGTTAGCACTAGGATCTTGCGCACCCAAGACTTCCAGTGTTTCCTTCTGCTTCGTTGGTAGCCGTCCTGACTTACTCCGCTAACCGTTGTCACGGCGCGGTTCCACATAAGGAATCGCCCCTCGCTTGCACTATAGTCAATCGTCCGCCGACCGACCGAAGCAGTTTCTGTTTCTCAGCCTACCCTTCTCTTCTGGGCCCCACTCTCAGAGGGAGAAGGAGTTCCAGGTCGCCGACAGTCGAGTTCACACCGTCAGCAAAGTTAAACCAAAGTGTCATGCTCCTCCTCCTCCCGACAATGCTGCGTTGACTTCGAAGAGCCGACCACCGAAGAGGACCGCCAGACAATCGTTTGAAGAAGTCCCACCGGACGATCTTGTGTCCGTGAAGCCATCCAGCTAGAGGTTTCTGGTCGTTGGTCCTAATTCCCCAGGGCTGAAGGGAACTGTTAGGCCCTGGACACCTGACCTCCTTCCGTTCTGTTGCTCAAGGCCGGCCTGATCCCTTCGACACCTCGGGGACTGGGCTGCCACCTTCCATACACATGGGGGTCTCTTGAGCAGATCCCTTCGTTGGGGTCATATCAACTCGGCATCACAAGGGGTGGCAGACACTCAGAGCTTCGTCAGCCCAGGCTTTCTCAAACAACACAAATTGAAGATACTGATCCTTCTGTGCAACAGCATGCTTCCACAACGTGTGGCGCAGCGTGCGCTGTTCAGTCCGGCAGAGTGAAACCAAACATGCAATTACGCGGAGACAAGTCATTAGGGAGCATGCAGTTAGGCTCGGCGCATATATCGCCAACACCGCCAGGCATAGCTTGCGGGTCCATCATTCAGGCGCTCCTGCTCGGACCTGTTGACATAAGCAGGGACTACTATGAGCGGAAGTCTCTAGCAGCCGTCTCAGATGCATTGAGAGGTCACACGGGACCACTTTCTGACGGTGTTCTCTTGTCCCTATTCCTTGTCATTTTCCCCGGCGGGAGACTGCCATGACTACGTATGCAAATACCCTGCATCTCCGCTGGCGGCGGCGCAATGTCTGCAGCATTATGCCAACGTGGACGCGACATCAGGCAGGATACAGCGCGCTCGGAGAACAAGCCGTCCACTCGGTGTCCGCGGCAGTGTGGACGGGATGTCCCAACATGAACGTGTGCACGGCGTATCCTGTAGGTTGACTCGGCCCAAGGGGCATCAACTAAGGATCCGTTGCTGACCTTTGCTCAGTGCTCACACGTTCGTCCTCTGCCTGCTTGGGGTACGTCCCATCTGGGGGTGGCCGACGTCTCTGCGGTACTTTCTCGACGTACTCAATGACCTGGTCCTCGGTGCCCATGTCTTCCAGCTATCCCTCATGATGGGCCGAGGGTTCTCCTGCCTGGAACACTGTGAGCTTCTCCGGATGATGATGTGTGCAGACAACGTCCACATCCTTCGCAATATTGGGAGGACTCTTTTGAGAACGCTTCATCCGAGTGGACAGGATCTGCCATCCTCAGTCAGACATATGCGGTGAGGGCTGCTCGGAATAGTCGGGTCTCGGCGCGTACCCATCAGTGGGAGCTTGTACCGACTTTGACTGAAGGGCCAACTCCGACACTGACTGACCCTGCAGGCGAGCAAGGGTGCTTAGAGCGACTTACGACGGCCATCTCCGAGTCCGCAACAATACTATTCTGCCACTGAGGATGCACGCAACGTCAAGCCATACGAAAGCCGAAGCCTGCCCTGGCCAGCGCGCACAGTAGACTCCATTGCAGAGTTTTTAACGACCACGCGCAAGACCTACTGGAATTGCACCGCTGTGAAGTGATGGAGATGCACCTTGGAAATTTCCCAAGGCACACCCTTAACTTCAAGCGCCTCCAGTGCTGAGTGTGCGTCTCTCATGCGCCAGCTTCCCCATGTGTGGCTTACGATGGCGTACTCGGCGGACTTCGTTCCAATGAAACTGGTGCCTGGATACCACTGGTGCAATGTCATCGTAGGGACGTGCTGCTGTCTCCGGGGCTATCTACGCCGCTTGTCGAAGGTGGCGTCTTCGGGATCGTTCTGGATATGTATTCACACATGGCCTTGGGTGCCGGTCTCATGGTTTATTCGCACGGGCTCAAAACCTGTTGCTTGATCAGCCACTGCAGCGCTTTATCACTTCGGAGAGATACAAGAGGCTCATGGACGAGATCCCTCGCTATTAACGAACGTCCACGTGTTAAGGTTGCGAGGCGCTTATGCGGCTGTGGCCCACCGTAGAAACCCGCGGCTGCCACGGTCGAGCATTAGCGCGGGCAAGTGCCAACGGTCACCACGTCCTGACTTGATTGTCATTCTGACACTGCTCACTCTTGTGCAAATACCTATCGAGCTCCGACATTGTAGCAGATGGGTTCACATATGCCTTGGATAGACGCAAAGCACCACACGTTTCATACCAGCAAGCCTATCACTGCTCATACTCCCGTCATAACCGATGCCATTGCCGTGGTACCTGTTTCTGACGGACCAGCCGAATGTCAGAAATTGAATTGACAATGTCAGAAAGTTTACGGAGCCACACCCAGTCCCTACTCGAGGCTCTGGACGCTCATGTGTTCGGCTAGACTCTTGTTTTAGACTCCGCCGCCCATGCTGAAGCCACGATAGACCGACCCAGACCAGCGGAACCTTGACAATGCTCTCTCCACACCCAACCCCGTGGAGCAAGACGAGAGCCGAGCTGTCAGAGTCCGGGGTAATGCTCTGCTTCTCGTATGCTCCTACAGCGGTAACGTGGCTGCGTCCGAGTCCAGGCGGAGAACTCGACATACCACAGACTATAAAGAAGACGAACGTGCTGCTGGAGCGGCTGAACTTCTGAGATACTCGACTCAAGCTCAAGCACTCTGGTCGGAAGATACACCACATCGTCCTGTCCGACATGGCTAAATTGACTTGGTTCAATATCGCCATCTGCCTGGTCGTCTCTTGGGGAGGATTTGCCTATGGCTTTGGCTTCGCCATCTTTGTCACCAGCATCGGACAGCCCAGCTTTTACAAGTACTTCGATCTCGATCGTGAGTAAAGTCTTCCTTCCACGTCGATTCCCGTGTACTGACCGTCTGGCAGCAACGAGCGACTACACTGCGAAGCAAGTCACGCCCCTTACCCACATCTCGACATGGACAAGAGCCTAATACTTCTGCAGCATCCTCGGAGCGATCAATGCACTTTTCAATTTCGGGTTGGCTGTCGGTGCTCTGGCACAGGGCTGGCTGGTTGACGTGGTCGGAAGGAAGAGAGCCTTCTATATTGCAGCCGTATCCTCCCTCGTGGGAGCCGCTCTGATCACCGGTTCGACAGTGATCGGTATGCTCATCACAGTTCGTCTGCTGCATGGCTTTGGTCTGGGAATGCTCATCTGTCTTGTGCCACTTTACTTGACGGAGGTTGCGCCACCGCGCCACCGCGGTTCGCTCAGTGGGCTGACAACATTGAGCTTCGGCATGGGATATGTCACGTACGTGCCGTCAGCGCGCATCACACACCAGACACACTGACACGTCCCAGTTGTGCATGGCTCTCCATTGGCACCTATTATGCAAAAGAATTCAACATTCAGGTCCGTGTGCCGCTGGCACTTGCTATGGTCGGACCGCTCGCCCTCCTCGCCGGGCTACCTTTTATTCCTGGTGGGTTTCACTCGCACCGGCCCATCGGTTGAGCGCAGCTGACTTATCTGCTAGAGTCCCCTCGATACCTATGCCTGAAGAACAGACCCAGTGAGGCCTGGGCAGTGCTCCGCAGGATCCATCACGATCCGGACGACGAGGCTGACTCCGCAGCCCATGCCGAGTTTGTGCAAATCAAGAGACAGGTCGAGTTCGAGAAGGAGCAAAAGGCCGGATACATTGAAATGTTCAGGAAGCCCTCCTGGCGGAAGAGGAGCTTGCTCGCCATCTTTATTCAGTCAGTTCTTTCCGGAAACGACGTGGTGATATTGGAAATTTGGCTGACCCTGACTTCTTACCAGGTTCGCGGCTCAATCTACCGGCGTACGTCTTTTGTGTGAGCACCTCACAGCTTGCAGCTGACGATCAAGTAGATCCTAGGCATTGCGAATTTCCTTGTCCTGATCTTCGGGAGCTTGGGAATGACGGGCGTCATGCCCCTGCTGCTCTATGGTCCGTCCTTGCCTCGCTCCGGTCTGCGACGAACATGTAACCTGACACTTCTGCACAGCGCTGTACTCCACAATTGGCACGATCTTCGTCGCGATTGCCATCTTCACAGTCGATAGAGTTGGACGGAGAACCATGTTCCGTGAGTACCGCTGCGCCCACTTCCATCCACGACCTCTAACGATATCTAACGGTGTACAGTCGTCGGTTTCCCTGCCATGGCCGTCTGTCTGCTTCTCGAAGGTGTCCTCCAATCGCGGTACCTCGGCACCGACCACAAAGCCGGACTAGCAGGCTGTGTGGCGGTCATCTACGTGTATATCGTCGTGTTCCAGTGCGTGGATGGCCCTGCCTTCATCTGGATGTCTGAAATCTTCCCGACCAACATCCGAGGCCGGGGTATTGGACTGGGCTTCTTCTCCTACTTTGTCGGTGCCATCACCTACACCACTCCATCGGCGCTGGCATTCAAGAACATGTAAGTTTGAGTTCTCTCCTCGATGGGAGGAAACGAACTTGGCTAACCCGGGCTTTGTCTGAAAAGTAAATACAACATGTACTTTCTGTACATGGGACTATGCATCATCTCCACCATCATCGTGTACTTCTACATCCCCGAGACGAAGCGCATTCCCGTCGAGGAGATCGGCGCCCTCTTCGGTGACGAGGTTGTCGTGCACTTGACCGAGGATGGTCATGGCATTATCGAGGAGCAAATGGAAATCAAGCTGGCGGGTGAGGATGTCCGTGTAGCCGAGGTGCATCACGCCGAAAAGGCTTGAACATCCTTGAGGAAGGAAGTGAGGGAGTCTATGGCTGGTCGAAGCTTAGATGGGTGTCGCAAGCAATAGCGATGCAGCTGCTGGATGGGCTTCTAATAGCAGGTGAGAGTTCAATGGTGAATTCAGGTGAATTCAGTCGGGCTTAGTACATGATAGCAAGATCAACTTTGAATCTTGTGGATCCGTCTGCTTTGTCCCCTTCTTGAACAGCCATGGCGAATTCGACATCCGCGGGCAAAAGTCATCGACGGATCGATCAGATAGTGAGTGAGTAGCGAATGTCAACCCGGCCAAGATGCCAGAATTGATGGACGCTTGAACCCACACGCCTTCGGATTCGGGGAAATTCCAGCTCTCGACGTCCTAAGGCATTGCGGATGATCAGTATGCCATTCTCAACACTCTCTTGGTGAGGAAGACGACGGCTGACCGGCTGACCGGGCTGACCGAGGTCGTCGGTGTCTGGAACCTGTCACGGGCACCGACGCAGTTGGCATTGGGGTTGATGATTCGTAGTTTCGTCTTGCTCTTGCTCTTCCTCCTTAGTGGGCGTACAGCCGGGCAAGAAAACGGCTGCTGGGGACCGGGACTGTGACAAGCACCTCCATGCGGCAAATGTCGCTATTTGCTACTGGTGTTTTGCTGGCATGGCTACTCGTACGACCGGACCAGACCGGGATACAACAGGGCAAAAGAAGGTCCCAGGGGAAGGGAAGGGGGAGGGAAGGGAAGCCAAAACGCAGGGGCTTTGGAGACAAAATCCTGTAGTGGTTGTGCCGTGCGTGGGAAAGACGTACCTGTACCGGCTTCAGAAGACAATGGTCGTCGTCTCACAAGATGTAGTGGAAGGATGAGTGGATGAATGAAGGAAGGAAGGGAGGGAGGGGGGAAGGGAGGGAGGAAGGGGCAATCTTTGCTTTGCTCCCCACGACCATAGGAGAGTTGAAGCGTCGTCGTGAAAACTGACAACGCAACTAAGCGACGATATTATCAACGTCACTATGATCCAGCGACGTGCCGGGTGAGAGTGAGAGTGAGGGATACCGAGGAAACTGGGCGCATGTACAGTACCATTGGCCCTGTCTTTCCTCGTTGCCGTCTCGCAATGTGCCCAGCATGCAGCCAGGGACATCTAGATCCAAGAAGCCCTTTCACGACCCCACGGTCACGAAACGACCAGAAGCCAGACCAATACTGTCACTCACCAGGCCCATTCCGTCCCATCGTAGACCATGAATTTCCCAGCCGTTGCATCCATTGTCGCGTTGTCGATCTGTGATGAACGTATCGTTAGCGGCAGCGTCAGTAGAGAGCAGCAAAACCACCTCGGAGAAAGGACTTGTAGAAGACCGATAATGGACAGGAAAAACCAGGCCTTCTTCTATTCTCCCCCCAGCCGACTCCCCACTCCTCCGATCCTGTGCTTATTGAAAGGGGTAATGATGGAGCGGTGACTCGAGGCAAGAATGGGGTGCGTGGGATAGTAGGACAGATACAGGCATGAAGATAGACATAGCCATAACCATGGCCATTGCCATAAATGCGAACATAGACAAGTACGTACCACGTCAACCATCCCGGGAATACTCTCTTCCAGCATAATCTGCGCCTTCTCCAGGCCAAATTCCCTGGCGCCGGCGTTGCCCATTTCAGTCTGGACCCAGCTGGTGGGATGAATAGAGAATGTCAGTCATGGACCCGGAAAATGACTATACCTGGTACATGCGGACATGCGGACATCCCATAGATGTGACACATTTCCTGGAGGCAAAGAGAGGGAAAACAAAGCAAAGAGTACGTCGAGGAGAACTCACCCTGGATGCATCGCGAAGCTACACAAGCCCAAATCCTTGTTCTCGAGGTGAATCTTCACGGTAATCCAGTTCAAGGCGGCCTTGCTGGGCCCATACGCGGCGTTCGGGACTGGGATGCGGTCCTGGGCCCCAATCGAACCGGCACGCGAGCTCATGGTAATGAATTTGGGCGTCCTGGCGCTCGTACTTGTAGCGGCGGCGCGGAGTAACAACGGCCTCACAGCGCGGAACAACACCACAACGCCGACGACATTGACGGTAAAGTGCTCTAGCATGGACTTGGGGCTGGCCTCGTGGACGACGGGGTATGCGTTCGCCATGCCCGCATTGGCGATCACGACGTCCAGGGCCGTGATGCCGTGTGTGTGCTCTAAGGTGGCGATGGCATCGTCCGCGTCCGTTGGGGAGGTGCTTTCGATCTTGACGACGATGAGACGGCTGGTCGATGAGCGAGGGAGCGTCGCGAGATTTTTGCTACTCGAAGAGGATGGGTCGCGAACAGCGGCTATGACGGTGCTGTGCGGACGGGTGAGGTATGCTTCGACCAGGGCGATCCCTAGGCCTGCAAGAAGGGGTGGTTAGTCGGCCGGACAATGAGGACCTGATGGTCGTGTGGAATAATCCGGATGATGTACACGGGTCTTTGAGGACCGCAGCTTACCTCGATTGGCACCTGTGATCAGGTATGTTGTTGAGGTCGTCACTTTCATGGCTGAGTCTGGGCCGTGGTAGAGGCTCTCAGGACGGAGGGCTCCTGTGTTGTGGGACAGAGGACGGTCTTCCCGAACAGAGTGACTTCGGAGTGAACTGGATTGACTGAGCTGGTGCCATCTTCGTCTCTCCTCTCGTCCTCGGACTTCATATACGAACAGTGGTGGTGCTCTTGTGGAGCAGACCAGCATGTATCCGTGTTGACGGATTAGTAACTCAACGGAACGTATACGGACACGCGACTTAGCACGTATTTCGTACCACACGCACTTTAATTAAACTTTATGGGTATATATTTTATATAGGGACTAGGGCTAAAATATATTATTTTATACCTTACTCTTATTTTTATATAGACCTCGCTATTACTAACCTCGCTATCACTAACCTCGCTATCGCTATTTAGTATAGTATATAAATTTGTATAGTAGGGACCGCTAAAATTATGTACTAATATACTACACGAGGAGGGAATATTTACCGAATAATTGAAGTACGTGCGGTACGAAATACGTGCCAAGTCGCGTGTCCGTATACGTTCCGGTAATTCAACATGCCTCTGATGTTACAGAACCTTGCTGCCTGTATGTATTGCTCCGTGAAGGTTCGTCCGGCCGATGATGGCCGCCAGGACTCGCACAGGTGTCAGAAGTCGACATCCTTCGGGGTGTGGTGGAGTGGTGACCGTCAGAAAGTCAGAAAGTAGCATTGTCAGTGTCGGTTGTCGATGTTAACAGCCTGGAGCTTGGTCAGCGATTCGGTGCCTCACCAGGCACCTCTCTTCCAGCACTCGATTTCGAGGACTTATTGCGTGCGCCGTTTCTTCTACAGCATAACGCAAGGCACCAAGAGGAGACTTTTCGTCCGTCTGAAGGTCCGGAGACTTGAGGGGGAACTTTGTCCGAAGAGACGAATGTAAGTCAGGCAGAAAGGCAGAAATGCTGGAGTTGGCTTTACCATCAGTCATAGTGGCCGTGCCAAACTCATTCTATCGTCGCTGCTGTCTATTTCGTGAACACCTGGGGTGTATCTGGGTATCTTTCGCTCGAATCTAACCTATCCATGCCTGAACAATGCTTGGACTCCTGCCTGTGGGCGTAGTTCAATCGGTGCTGCCGTACTTCTCCCGGTATGCCCTCATCAGTTCCAGCTGTTCAGGACCCGCTCCCTCGATTTTACCTGTCTCAATGCCCTCCAAGAGGTCTTCGAACTTGAGAACAGCCCTGACAGGCACTCCCAACTCATCCTCAGCAACCTTCATAGCACTTCGCGGCTCAGTATCCGATACCCGTTCTTGCCTGGTGAGCAGCAGGACGACGCCAACCACAGTACCTCCTTGCGCTTTGATTATTGAGACTGCTTCCCGCAACGCGGTACCGGCAGTCATCACGTCATCAAGAATGACAATCCTCTTGCCCTTGAGAGGCGCCCCAACGATAATGCCTCCTTCACCATGATCTTTTGCTTCCTTCCGGTTGAAAGCGTAGGAGACGCTCTCGAAGCGGTGGCCGCTGAACTCGAGCTCCCGAGCAACAATTGCGGCCAAAGGAATCCCCTTGTATGCGGGCCCAAAGATGATATCGAAGTGAGGTGACAGGGAGCCGTCTGCGTCACTACCTGCCTCCTCGGTTCCAAGTGGCAGTGAGAACGGAGGAGAGGTCAGCACAGCTGCAAAGCCACGGGCAAGCGCACCCAGAAGTGACGCGGTATGTAGCAGAGTGGACGTGAAGAAATACGGCGATACGCGTCCAGATTTCAGCGTGTATGTGCCGAACGAAAGGACTTTGGCCTTGAGGAGGAGCGGAAGGAGAGTGTCTTTGTAGGACGTCGTCGCCGCCATGTTCGAGGTGCTTTGAGAGATTGAGCTCGACGCGCACAAAATTCTGGAGTTGCCCGCAGTCGATTTGAGCAACGCAGCAAAAACGAGCGAAAACCGCCCAACGCTCACGTGCGACTCACCCCCACCTTGCCGCTCTGGAGTATCTCCCTTGCGTTGTTTTTTTCTGGATAGACACTGATGAGGAGCAACAGGAGTGTCTGAATGATATGCGCGCTCGTATGCTATGGTGAGGTGGCTTGGATCATCGACTACACGGCATGCTCAAGCTACTCGTCCTGGCCCGGTGTCTGCGAATCTGTTAAACAAGAACTTTAGGTACCAAAGCTTGCCCCAGGCAGCCCCATCATATCAGATAGGCGAGCACAGACGTGATGGCGGAAAGCGAGAGCCAGCGAAATCGGCGCGCACCGTGATTTGCTTCCTGTCGCCCGAACAATTCATAGGGGATTCCACCGCACAGCTGCAGGTTCTACTCGTCCTCGCAAGCCAATGCAATAATGAATGTGATTGGAACGGTGCCTGCCAAGAACGAGTCACAGCCACACGCATCACTCTGAACGAGCATCCGCGCGTGGGATGGTGAGAGAAATGGCGGGGGTCGGATGAGAAAAATGTCATAGTCATTGACCGCCTGTCAATAGTATTACTGTCCTCGTACCTTCGCTTTGGCTTTGTCAACATTCTTACTCCGTACACACCTCACCTCTGCCTGAGATACACCCTACTCCCTAACGTCCAGCACCCAATGCCGCGAGAACTGGCTGACAGGTGGGCTCGCAACCGTTACTTCGGTTGAGCTGTTTCTAGTCAAGAGGAGGACCTTGTTGTAAACCGGGAGTTACACAGCCAACGGCGGCGGAATCGAGACCAAATCGTCCTGTTCGACATACACCTCGGGTCTTCGTGGTTCTTCATCTTTCGCTTGCGCACACTGGCACTTTCTTTACCCTTCAACACTCGTTCGGTCTTCACGTCCACCTCGCCGAGATGCATATCTCCAAAAAGCTCGCACAGGCGCACCAGAGCAACAAGCCTACCTTTTCCTTTGAATTCTTTCCTCCCAAAACAGCCCAAGGCGTTCAGAACCTCTACGACCGCATGGACCGCATGCATGATTTGGGCCCGGCGTTTATTGACATTACTTGGGGCGCAGGCGGACGCCACTCTCAGTTGACGTGTGAAATGGTCAACGCGGCCCAAAGTCACTATGGGCTTGAAACCTGCATGCACTTGACATGCACGGATATGGAGCGAACTCAGGTTGACGACGCCCTACGCCGGGCATACAAGGCCGGCTGCACAAATATACTGGCGCTCCGGGGAGATCCGCCCCGAGATCAAGAAAAATGGGAAGTAAAGGAGGGCGGGTTTCGATATGCAAGGGACCTCGTCAAATACATCAGGACAAAATACGGCGACCACTTTGACATTGGCGTCGCCGGTTACCCTGAGGGCTGCGACGACCACCGGGATGTGGACGTCCTCATCGACCATCTGAAGGAGAAGATCGATGCCGGAGCGACGTTCGTAGTCACCCAGATGTTCTACGACGTAGACATATTCCTAGACTGGGTAAAGAAATGCCGCGATCGAGGTATTCACGTCCCGATCATTCCTGGTATCATGCCAATCCATACTCACGCCGCCTTTGTGAGGCGAGCCAACTGGACGAAATGTCATGTTCCCGAAGACTGGTACAAAGCACTGGAGCCGGTCAAAAACGACGATGCCGCGGTTCGAGCAGTCGGGAAAGAGCTGGTGGCTGAGATGTGTCGGAAAATCCTGGACGCAGGGGTTCTGCACCTTCATTTTTACACCATGAACCTTGCTCAAGCAACTCGCATGGTTCTCGAAGACTTGTCTATCACCCCTTCAACATCTGGTTTGGCTCTGGAGAAACCTCTGCCCTGGCGCAAGTCGCTTGGTCTCAACCGAAGAGACGAGACGGTCCGACCAATCTTCTGGAGGAACCGCAACGCCTCGTACATTACAAGAACGGCCGACTGGGACGAATTTCCCAACGGGCGCTGGGGTGACAGCAGATCTCCCGCCTTTGGCGAATTGGATGCTTACGGCATCGGCTTGAAAGGCACAAACGAGGCCAACATCAAGTTGTGGGGAAAGCCCAAGTCTCTGCGCGAGGTCACGTCCATGTTCGTCCGCTATCTACAGGGCGACCTCGACCGGTTACCGTGGAGCGAAGGCGCCATCTCCACAGAGGCCGAGTCCATCAAAGACGACCTGTTGAGCCTGAACAAGCGCGGGTTTCTCACCATTAATTCCCAGCCAGCAATTGATGGCGCTTCTTCTACGCATCCAGTCCATGGCTGGGGACCCGCTGGCGGGTGGGTGTACCAGAAAGCATATCTTGAGCTGCTTGTCTTCCCCTCCATGTTCCAGAAAGTCATCGACAGACTCGACGCCAACAAAAACCTCACTTACTATGCCGTGAACCAAAAAGGAGAGCTGCTCACCAACACCAAGGATGAAGGCCCGAACGCCGTCACGTGGGGTATCTTCCCAAACCGAGAAATCGTCCAGCCAACAATCGTGGAAACAGTGTCTTTCTTGGCCTGGAAGGACGAAGCCTTCCGCCTCGGTCAAGATTGGTCGAAATGCTATCCAGCCGGCTCGGGCAGCAGGAAGCTGATCGAGACCATCATGGGCGAATGCTATCTTGTCAACATTGTCAACAACGACTTCCATCAGACCCATGAGATTTTCAAGGTGTTTGATGGACTTGAGGTTAGGGACCTCGACTTGGTCTTCGAAGGCACCGACGCAAGCGATCACACAAATGGGACCGACAGTACCAGAGAAGTGCTGAACGGTGACGCCCCAGTTGCAGAGGTGGAAAAGAGCATTGCGAACGGGGAAGAACGCAAGGTGCCATTCCCGACAAACGGGGTTGCACTCAAGAACTGAGCGCTGAGTGGTTCTCGAGCATTTCTTTGCTGACCGCAGTTGTCAGTTCGATGCAAGCAAGATCAACTCTTGCACGTCTCAATTCGTAATAGCTCGTCAGGATGGATGGGAATGGGAGTTTTCGGGGGTGGTTTCTGGTTTTACCTTACCTCTTGGTGAACCTGGGATGTGAATTCCTAAGGGGTTGGACGAAAACAATCAAAAAAGTATCTAATTCAACATGATACCCCAAGGCAAGGCATGAAGCGCAAGTGCTCAATTCAACATTATGATACCCCGGCATCGAGGAGAGGAGCTAATGACGAAATGAAATGATTCACGACCCAAAAAATATGTTTGGACGCAGTCTGGCTGGCGGAAGCATCCCATCAGTGGTGGTATTCGCGCTGGCAAAAAGCACATGAGTACTTTTCAACATGGCTCAATATGCGTCGGTCTACATGCACGGAGTATATCGGTATTTGTGTCGGTAGACAAGCCGAATCCAAAGAGGTTGATTTGACAGCCTGCTCTGCTCGCGAAACAGTTCCTGCTTTGACTACGTAGTACTGTGCGTGGCCTTCAGAAGCGAGTGATAGTGACCTTGCCCGCGTTTCACTCCCCTCCGTGTGCGTCTCATTGCCGTCTCAACTCGCCGTCACGACATCCGACACAAATCCTGGCAAAAGATACAACGTACAAGCCTCGTAACCCAGTCGGGGAGGGTGCTTACGTAGATATGTACTTGGGTAACTACGCGTGGCGGTGTGATAAGAACTGTCGCCTGTGAGCCTTGTACGTCAGCCCAGTGATGAAGGACCAGCAGGGACAGCTACAGTACTGTAGCTCCTGGACGAGCGAAACGGGCGTACGGAGGACGTACTGTACCTAGGTACATAGGTAAGTAGGTATGCACAACGTATTGTCATGGACGTATACTGTAGATAGGGAGAGGAAGAGGAAGAGGAAGAGGAAGAGGAAGAGGAAGAGGAAGAGGAAGAGGAA